TATCCATGTCTTCCTTTCTTCCTCGCATGCAAATCATGTAAAAGTAAAACTATTTGATATATAGTTTAATTTTGAGTGAGCCCTGGGTGATGAATTGTCAATTTATTATACATTGTATTAGTTAGTTTCATTGCTAAGATTTCATTCAATTTATGAAAAATCCAAAATTCAAGATAAAATTAATGAGATATTGTCACTTGAATTAATAAGAGGTATATGGGTATAAATTATTGATAATATAATAATTACTATTATTATTATAATTATTTTATTATTAGATTACTCGTGCAACAGGTTCATGTATGTATATTAGTATATACGTGATCAAGATAAGCTCTGATGTTTCTTTGGGTATGTAATTAGTGGGTGGTTAAGAAAACTATACAGGAAATAGCCCAAATTCTCATTAATTTGATGGGTTTCATTTTTGGATTGGCTGACCGTATACATACCGCTCAAGAAGCCTGTTTCTCATGAATAAAGAGAAAAACAAAAGGACAAAACTGTCCTTCCTTAGTATGCGCAGGAGGCAGGAAAACGGGAATGAGATGGGTGTCGGAGGAGAACCTCCATATATAATTGGTAGGATATAGTGACTAGTGAGAGACCAAAGACTAGGATATTTCTTGTGGACTTGCTACATGAAGAGGGGCTATCAATTCGATTTCGGTTTAATTCGAAATCAACCCGATAAAAGATAACGAATTTGGTTTTTGTTTATACATACAGAACCGAACTCAGATAATGGGTTTATCAAATTTATGGTGTCCGACACTTAATTGTTTTGGATTTTGTTTTCCCCTTGCCAGGATGATTCAATTAACCGAACCGAATCGAACATACATAAGAGCCTTTAAGTCAATTATGCTCAAATTTCAACCTTTTTCCAAAGATGCTATCTAGTCCAACAAATTGGGATTCCATTTATAAAAAAAAAATGTATCCAATAATGCAGGAAAATATATTCCCCGTGATGTTGTTGCATCAGGATTCTTTGATGATGTTGTCATTTCCAGATCCCTCTCTATCTACATTTTCAACAATAAAGTGGGCAACAAAGCAATATGGTATTCTACTATGGTGGTGGGTGAGCCTTCAATTCCTTGTCCCCCTCCATTTTTGCGCCTTGCCCCTTATCACTCCAGCTGTCAGCAAAACCTCAATTACTTGTCTTTTCCACTTTGCGGGAAGTTGAAATAGTTGGTGTGTAAATATTAAAAAAAAAATCTCAAATAAAGGGTCAATAAAGATAATTTCACAATAGTCATTTTGCATAAAATAGTTTCCAAAAAATAATTTCACAATATAACATCTTCATAGCTAGTTGATACAGAGGGCTGGGAAAATAGACCAGACCGTTAGAAAAACCGTGGTCCAAACCGTACCGCACAGTTTGGTCCGGACCGTAGACCGTAATGTATGGTCTGGTCTGGTCCATGGTCTGTATTATTTTATGATTTGATCTCTTGGTCTGGTCTGGTCTGGTCTAGATCGCGGTTTACCGGACCAAACCGTAGACCCAACTAACTTGTCAATACGTGTTAACAGCCCATTCGACCACTCTCCAAACTCCCACAACGACACCCAAGCCTCAACCTTAATTTTGTGAATCTCTTCCCTCCTTCATTCACAACCACATTTAACCACAGAGTAGAGATAATCGTGTCTCTATATGACATAATGTTAATGTTTATGACATTATGGTGCAAGCTGGGATGCTTTTACTTTGTATCTTTGTTATGTACTAAGATTTAGAGTATCAAAATTATTCATGCATGTTAGGATTAATATTTTAAGGCAAATAACAATTATTTTTCTTGGTTATTGGTTCAATTTTTTGTGTGGTTAACTAAACAAATTATTCATTTTTTGTTGAGTGTGGTCTACCTGGACCAGACCAGATCGAACCAGACCGCACAGGCGTGGTCTGGGCCAGACCGTATAGCCTATGGTCTGGTCTGTGGTCTATACTTTAACCTCTCGGTCTGGACCGTAGACCGTATATATGATCTGGTCTGGACCAGACCGCACCATTTCCCAGCATACAAAAGACAAATTTGAAAATAGTCACGTACAATCCTTTTCACTAGCAGGTCCAGTGGTCCTCATTGCCACGATGTGGGCCCACCGAAAGTTGAGCTCGCTTTTTAAAGTTTAGCAGCTCATCATAGTAAAGACGAGCCAGGCCCAAAAGAAGTTGGCCCATTTCAGCGGCAGTCTTAGTCCAGGCCCATCCCAATTAAGAATTGAAAAACGAATCCACGTGTCCAAGTCATGCAAAAGCTTTGCCGACCACAATTACCGGAGGAGACACTTGTTTTTTTCGTTTCGCTGCTCCCCCACACTCCAACCACCGAGAAAAGCCTTTCCAGGCCACATCAGCAACAGTGTAGACTGTAGAGTCAGTACATTGGCAATTCTCGCCGGATGAAGTTAGCCAACAAACAAACACAACGACCACTCCTTCCCCGAAGCTCCTGCCGGCGATGGCGCCACTCTCTAAACTGAACTCTCCGGAATAGTCGATTCCCCCGGTCAACTCTTTTATCTCTCTACACAGACACAGCTTTTTCCCCCCAATCTAATTTCTTTTCTGTTCCGATTTTGCCTCCGCATTTCTTAAAATCATCAGTCGAATTCACGATTCAGTCTTTTCTATTACTATTCAGAAGCAGAGGAGATTGACGGTAATGGAAGAGGCGGAAGCAATTAGCGAGAAGGAGAGCTCCCCGGAGCCAAAACGGAGAAGTAGAAAGCGGGAAACGCAGATGCCGCCGCCGCCGAAGGAAGCCGCCGAGGAGCCGGAGGGTCCGAGTACCAGGCGCACGCGGTCGCAGGCGGCTCCCGAGTGGACGACGAAGGAGGCGCTGGTTCTGGTGAACGAGATCGCTGCAATTGAAGGGGACTGGCTGAAAGCACTGTCGTCGTACCAGAAATGGAAGATCGTGGTGGAGCACTGCAACGCGATGGATGTGCGGCGGAATCTGTTCCAGTGCAGGGGGAAGTGGAACTCGCTGCTGACGGATTACAATCTCATCAAGCAGTGGGGTTGCAAGGCGAGGCAGGGGAGCGATCCGTACTGGTCACTGGATAGGGAGAGGAGGAAGCAATTTGGATTGCCTGAGAATTTCGATGATGAGCTGTTCAAGGCGATTGACGAGTACGTTAGGTCACAGGCCGACGAGATGGATTCCGATCCGGAAACGGATCCTGATGGTGACGCCGAGTTGCTTGAGGTGATTGCCAGGCTAGGTAATGCATTGGGTTTACACTTTTGCTTGAAGCTTTGATTGCTGTTCTAAGTATAGTATACTGCTTTTGGTGGTCAAATTGTGCTGATTCTTGGTTTTGCATGCTCCATGGTTTTACCGATTTGAATCGTATCTCGAGTTGTGTTAATGGCTGTCCATTCGTGGCGTCGATCGGCCCGAGTTAGGGTCGAGAATGATCATTTTAGGTAGGTTGTAATGTTGAGTATGGCATGTCAACAAATTGTTGTTGATGTAACACTAGTAGCTCCATTCCCATTTTGGTTATAAATTTCAATGTCTAAGACTAAGGTAACTTTCCGGGTTATGGGAGGTTTCTGCAAACAGCTCTCATCGTGGCCGAAAATCCACGATGTTAGACTGATAACTTATCTATCTGACATCACAAAATCACTTAAAACATGGCTTTGTTCTCTCTTCTCGCCTGCCATTTTTCACTATGGACTTCAAGCTTACTTGGGAGTTGGGGCACATTGTTGCTACTCGACAATAATCATGTTTTGCTCTCTTACTAATAACGATAGTTATGTGCTGATTGTGGTCTTGTGATATCTGCCTCTCTTACTGACAGTGTTATGGTATATCTCAGGGTCCAAGAGGAAAAAACGTTATATATCTGTTTTGGAAGTTGAAGGAGAGCCGTTGCAAGGTGCTGCAGAAGGGCTATCTCAGGGAACTTACGCAGAAGAAAACCCTCAGCTATACTACCCAGAAGAGGGTGACGCAGAAGAAATGCCTGGGCTAGACTATCCAGAAGAAGAGGAGGGTCCTGGTGAAGAAATTCCTGTGGAAGAAATGCATCAGCCGCAGTTGTCCACAGAAGAGAAACAGGTGCGTTGTTGGATCGAGGAGAAAAATGAGGGGGCGGCAGTCAAAGTTGAGGAAGAGAACAATATGGAAGAAGCTCATGTTGAAGAGAAGAACGAGGCAGCGGTAGAAGAAGAGGAAGCTCACAATGAAAACCCTGTTGAAGAAGAAGAAGAAGACATCCAGGAAAAAGAGACGATCCATGCACCAATAGTAGAAGAGGAGGCTCATCATGAGATCCCGGCTCAAGAAGAACTAGGCATCCATGAAAAGGAGACGAACGAGGCAGCAGTATTACAAGTGGAAGCTCCCCGCGAGAGCCTTGTTGAAGAAGAAGGGGTCCAGAGAGTCAATGTACAAAATGGAGAAGTAGGAGGCGGTCAGCAGGAAATGTACGTTGAGGAACAGAATGGTGATGATAGCTACGGCAGCGAAAGCATTCCATCTGGTGAGGTGGAGCTGGAAGGGGAGAAGAACGGCGATGAGAAGAGTAAATCGGCGCTGGGGGAACAAAGGCCTCACAAGAGAGGCAGGAAACCGAAAGCGCTGGTGGAAGAAGAGAAGATGGTGGAGCAAGTTTACGAGTATGCCAAGTTAATGATCGCTATAGCCGAAACCAAATACCCTACTCCTCCTCCGGAGCCTGGATTCGGCGATGCTGCCGCAGTGGAGGCGGCCAAGACGGAGTTTGTAAGGCGCCAAGCGGACCAGCTTATAGCATCCCTAGGTAAGATTCTGAGTATACTCGAACAGTATCCTTATCTCGTCCAAAAATACAGCTAACGGCATTACTGGTGAGTATGCCGTTCTTCTTGCTGTAGTGTAGAGTTGCTGCTTGCTGTCTATGTTCCATTGTGCAGTTTATGTAGCTTTGCTATGGACATCGTTTTCGGTTTCCGGAATAAGATGGATGTGTAAAATAGTGTAGCTTTGGTTTATATTTTCAGTTGTCACAGCCACAAATAAAGGCCTGGTACCTTGATTTGGTATCTATCTCATGATCAATTATAGAACGACAACTTTACTAAGTATCCAAAGCACCAAAGAGAACTCAAAGGCAAAGAGGGTATGCAGCAATCCTCGATCCAGCGGGAACCCGAACAGTGTAATCCCTCCGTTGTTGTGCTGCAGATACGCCACCAGAGCTTGCCTTGTTTGGAAGGAAGAAGATCCGTTATGATCCCCATCAACAGAAACCGAGATCAGAACTTCCGACGTCGACGACGATGAAGTATCGTCAGAGTCACCGTCGCTGCCGCTGTTCTCCTTGGAGGCATGGTTCTTCGTCCCTTTCCCGGCGCCGCTGCTTCTAGCTGCAGCACCAGTGCTCGTCACGATCATGTTCCACCGCGTCGCGAGCGACACAATCCCCTGCGCTCTGTGCGTGATCCTCGCCGCTCCCATCAGGCACAAGAACAACCCACTCAGCTGCACCGCCGAGCATATCTACAACAAACATCACCAAAGTGAGTAACATAACACATACTATACTGTCCGTTTAATTATTCTCGAAACAGGTATTGTTCCACTTACGACGAGATCGCCGGAGTTGAGGAAGCTTTTGTGAGAGCGGGACGCTAGAATGAGAAGCAGAGCACCCAACTGGCTAACCGTGATGGTAACCAAGCAGGCAATAATGAAGGAGCGATACCTATGGCTGGTGAATCTGAGCTGCTTCTTGATCCTGACGTGCTCCCCGTATATCGCGTCACACGAGCCGTCAGAGTATTCGAACCCTTGGAACAGCTGGTGCAGCCCCTGGAACCTCATGATCTGAAGCTCGCATGTCAGCCTGAACAGAACACATACCAGCAGGAAAACCCCCGTCCTGTACACCCACGATCCCATGACGAGAAGGAACATGATCGAATCCACGGGGAGACAAGCAGAGGCCGGGAGCGGGATGGTGAGGCGGACGGTGGAGAAGAAGACGATCTTGTGGGCGAGCTGGAGGAAGAAGGAAGGGAGGAGTATGGCGGCGAGGTAGCGGAACGCGCGGTGGAGCTCGAGGGAGTAGCCGCGGCGGACGTGAGGGGAGTCGGCGTGGAGCCCGTCGAGGAAGAGGAGGTGGCGGAGGCCGTAGCGGCGGAAGAATGAGGTCAGGGTGAGGAATGAGATGAGGGCTAGTCCGGATTCAGGTATTTGCACGAGTTTGTTGAATGACAACGGGAGGTCGTCGGTGGATTCGTTGTCTTGGTCGTCGTCGTGGTAAGAGAGGGAGGTGAGGATGGGGACGAGGACGGCGAGGGAGAAGAATGTGAGGTAGGAGATGGATCGGCCGAGGGGCGTGGAGTGGTCGAGGGCGCACCATTTGAGGCTTATACGAAAGCTGCGAAGCTCGTCGAAGAGGAGGGATTTCGATCTCGCGTAGGAAGGTCGGAGTAGAAGAGGACGGTGGTCGTGGTGGTCGGAGTCCGAGGAGGAGGAAGGGAGGGGTGTTTGATCGTGAAATGTGACGTGGCAGTCGGACGAGTGGATGGTTTGGCTGCTCATGATTTGACTTGAAGCGTTTATGGGAGTGAGATTGTTTGGGCGTGTATGGAAGATTGGTTATCGAAGGTTTGACTAACTAGCTGTGTCTTTTTGGTGGGAAATGTTGGTTGCGAAATGGGCAAGTGGCCCGTGACTAAAACTAAAAAAAAGAAGAGGAATCATATGTTTTCCGGGGGGTCACACAACTCACAATCGTTTTCCAACGGGGACGAAACAAAGTGCTTGATGGGCTTCGATAGAGATTAGTGCATTAACAAGGCTTAGAGTCATAGGTCCAGTACCAAGCGGGCCAGTGGTGACCCAGCCCAATAAACTTTCTTGCATAACCAGCCTTGTGGCTTCCCCCTTCCGAGGTCTACATGAAACATTTGTTTTGTTACTCTAGACTCTAGTCCGCTATGATGTTTGATTCTCGTCTGGTCTCGTCGTTCGTGGCTCAAACGAGCACGTTTTTTTTCAAAGGAACGAGCATGTTAGATTGATGTCATGGTCTCGCATCTTTTTTGTCTCTTTAGTTCATAGTTTCTTTACGGTTCGTGCCGACAGCTTGGTTTCGATCTCCGTTCACTGGTGCTAGTTACTTCTTTAGTCTGTAGGGTGGTTACTCGAACCGCAGTCTGGGAGGGTGTACTATGGATTGGAGGTTACTCGGTCGCCGTTCATCGACAGTTACTCGTTTGCAGCTTTGTTATTGTAGGCTATTGTTCGGGAGGCTGCAGTGAGTCAGGGTTGTGGGAGTTCTTTCTTTTGTAATGTTGCCTTCTCTTCACATTTTCCGAGGGGTAAAAATTACTGGGGGAAAAAAACTAGCTTTAGTTTGGTGAAAAAACATTAATTAACATTTTCAATCGCAATCCAAGATGGTTCTCAAGATTCGCCTCATTCCACTGTCCCATCGTCGCCGAGATCATGGACCAAACTATACTATCACTATACGATTTGCAGTTTGGTCCATACCTTACGATGTAGTCGGGTATTCAAATTTTCTTACTCGTTAGTAAATTAAACTCTACGACGTACAATAATGTCAGGCACAACACAGAGGCAAAGTGCTTCTAAAATGCATACTCATTTTTTAATCGATCGGCTATCAGTTTTCTCCCCTGTTTTCTTTTTACGAAGCATCCAAGGACATTGTGTGTACCTTAATGAATCAAGCCTGCAGCCAGGGTTTCAGCGCCTGAAACCACCAGGACGGCTGGGATGCCTACAGCTTTTCTCTGTCCCTTTCGATTATATAAAATTCTGGAATTAAAGGGTCGAGCAGTTGTTGTACCCATTTGGCGAAGAATGTGGCTAAGTAAAAAAGGCTTTACGATCGCGGTGGAGAGAAAAAGGCTGAGCAATCGATTCGTTGCCATTTGCGATTGCTCAGTTGTTATGCTGCTGCAGCCGGAATCCCGAAAGCATTTTTGGTACTTTCTGAGCCAGTCAATTTCTTGCCAGGTCAGTTAATGGCGGCTGATTTCAGAGCAATTGCAAAAAAACACTCACATATGGAGGAACCTTGTTGTTAGGTCGATGAAACCCTCAAGAAGACGGCGGATACAACAACAAGAATCACTCTAGGCGTTGTTACGTTTGGACAACTTTATGGACTTTGCTACGGTGACATGCATGTTATTGTAACTTGTGCTTTTCGATCGACCTCATATAGGATTAGGTCGACCTAGTATGTTGTTTTAGTTTTGTTATAAACGCGCTGCTACGGATCGGGAAATTGCCGGAATCGATAAAGCAAGAATACGAGAGCGAGAATCGAAAGAACACAGACACACGATTTACGTGGTTCACTAACACGATGTGTGTTAGCTAGTCCACGGGCGAGAGAGAGCCGTTTCACTATACTGAGGAGATTACAGATTACAGAGGAGTATGAGAAGTATTTATAGTACTTCTCCATGTGGGTCTAAACCTAATCCAATCTAGCAAAGGAAACGGTTACAGACCAGGCCCAGAACCCGATTCAAGTCATATCAACAAGTTTTGTGAAGTTCAACGACGCGGTTGACCTTTTATGTGGTTTTAGATTTTAGTTATGTGCAAACAATTATGATGTGTGTTTTATTGTATTTCTTGTTAGTTTGTAATTAGTTGTTATGTTATGATGTTATGAGTCATTGTTATCATTATTTATGACTGATTCTGTTGGTTAGAAACGTAATTTGTACGAGCAAAAGAACCGCCCACATCGACATACATAAGCAAAAAAGACGCAGGTCATAGGTTGATTTTCCTATATTCGGTCGACCTCGTACCAGATTAGGTCGACCTCGAAACCAACACTCTTGATCTTCATTTTACGTCAAATGGTGATGGATAAATGGATACAACACTTCTCTTCTATCTGGTCGACGTCTTTTTGTAAATGGTCGACCAATTTTGTTAATGACCGCCATCAAGTGGTCGACCTATATACCTTTAAGGTCGACCATTTTGCTTCTGACTCCAATGAAAAGGGTGACCGATATTTTATTGTGGTCGACCGACAATGACAACTTAAAACTAAAAACGGTCGACCATTACATTTTAAAGGCCGACCGTGATAAGTCATCAGGGTGCCCACATTAGTGTATTCGGTCGACTTCTGTTAGGATTAGATCGACCGAAAAGTGCAAGTTACGGTGACATGCATGTCAGTATAGGCGCACCCCAACTTCATCCATGCTCAATTGTCTTCGCAAATTCCAATCCAGACGAGATATATACCGCCACTTCCAGTAAGAGATTATAGGAAATAAGGTATACTCTCACGATCTACCACCCATAAATCACACGCGTTCGAGATAACTGATCACTCGAACAATAATATCTTCAAAATTCACTACTCGCTTCTATTTCATTTTTTAAACGACCTACTACTTCCGACAACCCACCAGCTAAACTTATCATCGATCACAAGGCTGAACTTCCCGATGAAATCTCAGCCGTCTTCAAACGTATGTGACAATGTTGGTAAAGCACATCGTCACGTCTAAGTTCTGTGATTGAGAATCCAAAATGAATCTCAAGAATAATGGCTAGAGAAGATGAGCAAAATCAACAATTCGTGGTTCTCTATTAAAGAAGTATTATTCCTCAGCTGAACAATGTGCCAACAAACCCAAAGGCAAGAAGGATCGATCAATCGAATGGGAACAAACGCTTCGCATAGCCATTATCAATTAATGAACACGATTGCTAGCTAAGCTTCTCTCCAAATGCCGACCTAGCTATCTGTCACCTGTCCAAAGGCTTCAAAGAAACAGCTGGTGCCGTCTTATTGGGGGCATATTTGGTTACATGTATTATGTCTTTGCAAAATAGACTATGTCAATGGCTTGCCAATTATTTTTTTAATGTCATTATGTGTATCTTGTAAACATAATCGTCACAACAAAGTGTAAAAAGGATATCTCTTGAGAAGTATGTTGTCATTTGTCTAAGTACTTATGTATTTCAGAATTGAGATTGACGCTATGTCACTTTGATGTATTTGATCATGAAACGTGCATGTACAATTTAATTCCCGTATGGTCAAAAAAGTCAATACTTATACTGACCGACAAATATATTGGTTTTTACAGGAAAATATCGTTAGTGGGTTGTCGCGGTATTCATTCTCATTTATGCTTCAGTACATCAAAAAAATGACGTTTGTCGCCAATGGATCATCGATCTAGCACGTTACAAGCAGCGCAACGTACAAGAAAATTGAAGAAACCTTTGATCAGACATGTCGTTTTAACTTGCTCCTTAATTAGATTAGTGTAGACATGGATATTAACAAAAAAAAAACATTATACGAAAAAATGATATATTTAGTGAACGGGAGGGCGGTAGCCAAACGGTTTACCATCTTTCTGAACCATCTTTAGATCTCAAGTTCGATCCTCGGAAGGAATGACAATGGGTCAGGTCCGGGGCGGGTTTCTTGGTACCCAAACCCGCCCCATGGAAGGTCGGGTCCAGGTCGGGTAATTTATCACGGGTAGCAAGTCGGGGCAGGATCGACCCAATGGGTATGCAATTTATATGAAAACCATTAGAAATATTCGTTATTTTTATTATAAGACCAAGAAAACAAACAATATTATGATAAATGTAGTTAAATTATTAGAGAAATTGATGTTTGCACTAATTTACAACTTTATTATAGCTAAATTATGATGTAATAAAAGAAAATCCTAAGTAATTTGAATAAGATTACATGTAATTTAGACAAGAACGGGTCGAGAATGGGGCGGATCAGGACAGGTCGGGTCGATGAGAGTACCCATGCCCGCCCCGCCTCGCCTACGCGACGGGTCAGACCCATCCCAAAACAAGCCAAATAGATCGGATAAAACGGATAAGGTGAAAATTGTCATCCCTAAACCTCAGGTGCCACTCTCCCACCATCCGTGGGGTTCATGTTAGCTCGGGTTGTGCCGAGTACCTCTGGCAGCAGCTAAGGTGAGAGAAGTGGCTTAGCCATGATTGCAGTTTGGTTAGACCCTCGTCCCAGCCTCACAACAACCCATCTCCCAACTCTTATGATCGAGCTATTTGAACGAATATCATTAACACAAGTGGTGTTTGTCGAAGAATTTCCTCATACAAAAAGTTATATATTTTTTTTAATTATCCAATACAACCTAGACATATAATAAAGGTTTTATTAATCCCCTCTCTCTCTTATAATTTCACATTGCGATCCATGAGGGCTTTCATTTAAAACGATTTGTCCAAGGAAAGCTAGCTAGTAGCATTTCTTCCCCCCAACAAAACCTTACACAAAAGAGTTTCCCTCTACTCCTCCGCAACCACAACTCCCAATTCCTTTCCTTGTCTTCTCCCTTTCCTCCCCCAATTTTCATGTTTCACCACCATCTCCTCCACCACACCTCACCATAAACCAAAAAAACCCCTCCCCTTAATCATCATCTCCGCCATGATCACTTCTAAACCACCTCCATTACCATCACTAATCATAACCCTAATCATCCTCACCACATCCTCAACATGTTTCTTCCCATTAGCACTCGCCGACGAAGCAGAAGTCCTCTTAACCTTCAAGAAATCCCTCTCCAACCCCGCCGCCTTACAAACGTGGAACGCCACCGTTTCCCCGCCGTGCAACCGCGACTCCTCCGATTGGGCCGGGCTCCGCTGCACGGACGGGGCCGTCGAGAAGCTGATCCTCGACAACATGGGCCTGGTGGGCATCATCGACGTGGACTCACTCTCCCAGCTCCCAAAACTCAGGACGTTCAGCGCCATGGGGAACAACTTCGACGGGCCCATCCCGCCGTTCAGCAAGCTTTCCCTTAAGAACCTGTACCTCTCCGGGAACAAATTCTCCGGCGAGATCCCGGCCGATGCGTTCAAAGGGATGGCCTCGCTCAAGGATCTTTACCTCGGGAGCAACCGGTTCGTGGGCCCGCTTCCTGGGTCGCTTGTTGGGCTCAACAAGCTTAGCGAGTTGGGCCTGGAAGGGAACCAGTTTAGTGGGAGTATCCCCGACCTTCAACAGCCGTTGACGGCGTTTAACGTCTCCGGTAACGATTTGGCCGGTCCCATCCCTGGGAATCTGGCGGACAGATTTAACCAGTCGTCTTTCTCCGGTAAGTTTATTATCGCCGTTGTTGTCATTTTCACCTTAACTAATCACGTCATTAATTATTAATTAATCATAATCACGAGATAAGTGGTAGGCACGTATTTTGGATAATGTCTTTTTCCCCTTATTAGTCACTAATCATTACGTCTTCAATACTAGTCCGGCTCAATTATTAAATCATTTCTGGAAAATATTAATTCCATTATTATTTCCCAATCTAAAATGTGTCACAACATTATCATCATACTAATAATTTCGGAATAAATATTTTTACATCATTATAAACAATACAGTCAAAATCGCGTTTTAATACTTAAAAGCTTACTTTAGTAGGTCACGAAAATACTTTAACGCATAATTGTACCATTTCTAACTAATTTAATTATAATTGAACTTTAATATTTTGAAAGTTACGTTTTTACATTTCTAGATCACCAAAACGCTTTTACGTAGAATCATGGTATTAATTATGTGATTGGAAATAACAGGAAATAAAGAGCTGTGCGGGAAGCCGCTGCCGGCGGCGTGCATAGCCGGGAAGAGGAAATCAAAGACGAAAACCATCTTGATCATCGCGGCGATCATCGCCGTGGTGGCGATACTGGGGGCGATCCTGGCCTGCACCTTCATCCGGGGCCGGGGATCCAGAAGAGAGGGACGAGCCCAATTCAACGACACGAGGAACCTGAAGAAATTCGGGGCCGCAGGCAAAATGGGCCCAAAGATGAAGGCCCATGATGACCACCACCACCCGTACCATTCGGCCCAACTGGAGCCCATGGCGGCGACCGGCGGCGGGGGAGGGAGGAGAGGGGAGAGCGGGAAGCTCCGGTTCGTGAGGAGCGACAGGGAGACGTTCGACCTGCAGGAGCTCCTGAGGTCGTCGGCGGAGGTTCTCGGCAGCGGGAACTTTGGGTCTTCTTACAAGGCTGTTCTCACCGAAGGTCCTGCCATGGTGGTGAAGAGGTTTAGGCACATGAATAACGTTGGGAAAGAGGAGTTTTACGAGCATATGAAGCGGCTGGGGAATTTGTCGCACCCGAACTTGCTCCCCCTCGTGGCTTTCTATTACAGGAAGGAAGAGAAGCTTCTGGTGTCTGATTTCGTCGACAATGGCAGCCTCGCTAGTCATCTCCATGGTAATTGGATCCACTGCTTCTTTCAATGGTTTAGCAGAATTTTGAATTGAGTAGAATTAGGTCAATAGCTAATAATTTGTTTTTCTCAGGGAAGCGACGGCCAGGGGAACCAGGGCTGCCATGGCCAACAAGGCTGAAGATCATCAAAGGAGTAGCGAAGGGATTAGGGTATCTGTACAAAGAGCTCTCCGATTTGCCCCTGCCGCACGGCCACCTGAAATCCTCCAACGTCCTCGTCGACCACACGTTTCAGCCGATGCTTACCGACTACGCGTTATCGCCGGTGGTGAATCGAGACCAGGCGCAAGGGGTGATGGTGGCGTACAAGTCGCCGGAGTTCATACAGACGGATCGGACGACGAGGAAGACGGACGTGTGGAGCCTGGGGATCCTGATCCTGGAGCTTTTGACGGGGAAGTTCCCGGCGAATTACTTGCGGCAAGGGAAAGGAGCGGCGGCGAACGCGGACCTGGCGGCGTGGGTGAATTCGGTGGTGAGGGAAGAGTGGACGGGGGAGGTGTTCGATAAGGACATGAAAGGGACCAAGAACGGGGAAGGCGAGATGCTGAAGCTGCTCAAGATCGGGATGTGCTGCTGCGAGTGGAACGTGGAGCGGCGGTGGGATTTGAGAGAAGCTCTGTCCAAGATTGAGGAGCTGAAAGAGAGGGAAGAAGGTGGTGAGAACGAGGATTATTGTAGCTCCGATGGTGATCTCTATTCTTCAAGGGCCATGACCGAGGAAGACTTCTCCTTCTCCGTCACCGCTTGAACTCAATTCATGCATGGATGGTGTTGTTACAATACGAATGATCCTGTGTACAAGAGAGCTAATAATGCTGATTACAGAAGCTGCTTCAGGCGGCAGGCAGAGGATGCAGGTTCCTTTTCCCCTTTTTTTTTGTTCTTAGGAGGATTTAATTCACTAAAGTTTGTACTATTTAGGTTCTTCGATCGAATTACTCATGCATGTAATACTGGTTCTTGTTTCTGCTTTGCTTATTGTTTATTTTTTTGCCTCTTCCTCGTGCTTTGAGAAATCTCTGTGTAATTTTACTGGCTCGATTCATTTCCTTTCCTTAACGAACCTGATGTGGAGGCCCTTGTTCTTGCTTCTCATGGCTTCATTTACCTACCTGTTGATACTAGTAATAAAGTACTGCAATTTCTCATTCTTGCAGAACTTGAATTTGCTGGGTTCTTCATCTTCTTAAATGGGTTGCTTCCCAGTTACCAAGTTTGATGATGCGGTATATAACTTGTCTATACTATAGTAATGATCCATCATCAAATGTATGTGATATGCGGTATCACCAAGGATGCGTAGACATAGTTGTTGCATAGATTGGTTGGCTGGCCGAACTCTTAGATACTCCACCATGGATTGTTCTATGCAGGCGTGCAAAAGGAACAGGGAAGAAGAAAACAAAGATGCTCCACGATGCTCAGTTTTGTTTGCAATGAATGGGAAAAGGTTAAAATATGCATTGGCATTTGGCAACTGGCTCATGAACCAGAGATGTTATCAGCTTTCAGGTAAGTTTTTATGGATTATGTTGAGGTGAGAAGTTCCATTTATCTTTGAGTGACAGAAAGATGAAGTTTTTCTTTGATGGGTACCTGTCATCGTCATCCGTCTCTGCATATTGAGAAAAGAGGCATCTTTTTCAATCGCTGATAATAATGGGCATGTTTGGGAATGGAGAATATGCCATGTGAAGCTTATTAGCTTTTTGAGAAGACGTTGGACATTTGGACAGGGACTCTTAAATAGGAACAACTTGCGTGTGCCTGGAATTTGTTTCGTCTTGTTCCATATCTCATCTCCCATTGGGCCCTCACCATCTTTAGTGTTCTTTTATATGCTTCCTTATCTGTTCTATTCCTTTCTACCCTTGGAATTTTTGAGTTCCCACAGTCTCTTCCTTTCCTCCACTCCCCAACCAATCTGGGTAATCTTTCATCCTGAGATCACAAGCTAACCATGTTTCTTCAGGATTCTGGTTTCTGTCTTGTCTTGGTTGGCCTTATGTGACAGATCCCTGCACTTGTTAGAACACTTTGTCTACTATCGATGGCTTAGCTGGTGTCCTTGCTGGAATTTCATGTCTATTATCTCTGTGATCCTTGGGGAGGCCTACCTTCCTGTCTTCAACTTCTTCTGTTGTTTTGTTTAGTGCTTTTCTATGAAACCCTAATGGGATCGGATTCGCTGAAAACCCATTCGTGATTTTTGATGCCATGAAACCCAATTATATGCGTTGTTTATTGAGTTGATTCCAGGTTTACTACATCCTGATGTTACCTTCACCATGCGATGTTCATCTTAACAACCAATTTAAGTTAACCAACTCGAGAACACTGGCATGTAACAACTAAAGCACAGAGCAGAATAAGATTCCAACCCACTTTCATTAGTGCTCTTTCTATATTTTCCCTACTCTATTAGCATCCCTTTGATCATTCATAGGTTTGGTTGTGTCCCAAGTTCAGATTGTAACCAACCTGGTACTTGGTTGTAACATTAAGGAAAGGATTTCAACATTGAATATTACCTTGGCAGGGATTCAAAGACTCCACTCAAGCTACTGTCTGTTGATTCTGTTGTGAATTTCACTCTTCTTCATGGACTACGTTTCTGTGGTTTTCATAAACAGGTTGGAAAACCCTATAAAGCGCAGAAGCTTGGATGCAGGCAGTAAGTTGGACATAGTCACCATGGCAGGGGATAACACCACTACCGTAGAAGAAAGCAAGGACTTCTTCAACCTCTTAGCATCTCGAGGAATCGACTTCCTTCTCTCTTCTCAAGGAAAGGTAGTTTAGTTTCCTCCAAAACAAACATTTTTTTTTGTTGTTGTTGAAAGAGCCATAAGCTGACTTAAGGTGCAATTTTGTGCTGGTGTTAACAACTCAGGTGCCAATATCATCAGCGTGTGAAGAAAGCAGAGTAGTTTGCCTATTCTTCTCGGCCAACTGGTGCAGGCCATGCAAAACTTTCACTCCACAGCTCATTCAACTCTACCACACCCTCAAATCCGAGGGCAAATCGCTGGAGATCGTCTTTGTATCGTTTGACCATGACGAGAATCAATTTGAAGAACATTTCATGTCCATGCCTTGGCTTGCAGTTCCATTTGAAGCCGAACTACATAAAATGCTGAGGGACATCTACCGAGTTCTTCGAATCCCATCATTGATCCCATTGGTCACCGATGGAATCACAGTTGAAGAGGACCTTATTAGTTTCGTCGAAGACTATGGCTCTGAAGCATTCCCTTTCACACGGAAAAGACGCGAGGAGCTCAAGGCCATTGATGATGCAAAGCGCCAAGGCGGTAGCCTCAAACAACTTCTTGGTCACCAAGGGCGAAGTTTCCTCTTCACTAGGGACTACCAAAAGGTAAACCAAATACACTAGTTTCCGTGATGCTTATTGTTGGAGAATAATTCTAAACTAGCTAGTTCTCTCCCAACTGTAAAATCTGCAGGTCTCAGTATCTCAACTCGTCGGCAAACCAATCGGGCTCTACTTTGGAGCTCACTGGTGCCCTCCAAGCCGCAACTTCACCGCCCAGCTCATCGAAGCTTACAACGACCTCAACGCGACCAACAACAACAATGACAGCAGCAGGACATTCGAGGTCATCTTCATCTCGACAGACCGCGACATCAAGGAATTCAACCTCAGCTTGAGCAGCATGCCGTGGCTTGCCATTCCTTACGAGGACAGGACGAGGCAGGACCTGTGCAGGATCTTCGACGTCAAAGGGATTCCTGCTCTGGTGCTGATCGGGGAGGACGGGAAGACGGTGAGCACGGAAGGGAAGTCGTTGATCTCGTTGTACGGTGCCAGGGGGTTCCCTTTCACGGCGGCGAGGGTGGCCGAGATTCAAGCCGCCGTCAGGAAGGAAGGAGAAGCGCTGCCGCGGGAAGTGAAGGATGGCAGAAAGCATGAGCATGTGCTGAAGCTGGACATGGCGAAAGGGTACGTATGTGACTGGTGTAAGCGGCAGGGGAGGTTCTGGGCGTTCTCTTGTGATGTGTGTGATTATGATCTTCACCCTGCATGTGTAGAAGAAACCTGACCTGATCGCACATAGGAATAGTAAGGAAAATATGAATGGAATATCAAAGAAAATAGAGATAAAATTGCTCGAGAATCAGGCGAGACGAGAAGAATGTTCGCGCTCTATTCTACATTGTTTGTTGGACAAATAATATCTACATGTCACACGTAAAACAACAGAACAATTTGAGTAGTATTGATCAATAATAATGAAACTGACATCGTTGTTGATCATTAGATCTTGAACAATAAACATACCAAATTAGTTGGTTAATATTTATGATTTAGAATCGAAAATAACTTTTACGTTAATTGTGGAAAATAAAATTAGATATTGAATGAACAAATAGAGAGATGATGCAGATGAGAGATTGTAACCGACGAGTCCAATGTCTCTATGGGCAAACCTAAAGATTTCAAGTTCGATCCTCAGGTGGTGCTTTCGCCGTCCATGGAGTCCTCGTTGACCAGGTTGCCCCTTGAGTGGCCGTGGGATTCCTCCAGTAGAGCATTTGATGTGCGAGGAGTATCTTAGCAGTTAGCACTACTTACAGGGTGATCAGGTTCTCGTGCTAGCAATAACCTATCTTCGAACCTTAACGATATGACTGTATCGGATCAACAAATTCAGAATTTACTTGAAGATAACATTACTTAAGTGGTGTATGTCGAATGAGTTTCTCGTTATAAAAACTAACTAATATTTGCGATATTTTCGAGTATGTGAACCCGCATGACTATTGACTAATAATATTTTAGGGCATTAAGTGCCTTCCATTCTAAATTGGAAGGAGCTGAAACGAGAAGAACCATATTCTGCCTGGTAGAGACAAATTTGACTATTTGAGTATTTGACGGTTTGAAACCATCCAAAAAGAATAGTTAAACCAGGGGCCGATCTACACCAACTATTTTTCCCGAAATTTTGCAGCTTCAGAGCGCGGGGTTTGCTTCCTTCCTTCTCCTTCCTCCCAATACCAGAAGAACTCAATCCTTCTACCTGACCCAAAAAACAAAAATTAAGGGAAAAAGGAAGAAGAAGAAGGCGAAGGGAAACCAAAAGGAGAACGCCTGCAATCACAGACAGGTAGAGAAAACCAACGTCGAGGAGTCGACGAACAGAGACAAAATGGTGCCTTCCTGTCTCTCTGTAGCTTTCGAGAGAGACGAGGAGGTTAGAGAACCGGAATCGGCATTGCCAGCAGCTTGTTGTTTCAGGTAGACGAGAAGGAGGAGAAGAAGAAAGAATCTGAAGCCGAAAGAAGAAGAAATAACGCAACGCATTGAAGATGTGGATGCCAAGAACAATCACGGAAAGGAAGGATGCCGGTAATGGCGTGGTGGCGGTGGCAGTTGATAAGGACAAAACCAGCCAAAACGCCCTCAAATGGGCTATCGACAATGTTCTCCAGAGAGGCCAGACCGTGATTCTCATTCATGTCAAAGTTAAGCAGCAGCCTCAATCCTCCTCTGCTCCCAGTAAGACGAACCCCCATTTCAATTTTGTTCAATTGAAAACCTCGTAAACTTTATAATCATATCCATAGAACCATGTTTCAACTGCAGGAATGAACCAGGTGATTGATGCCAATGGTGAAAGCTCGTTGGTTTGCAGAAACCCTGATTCACAAACCAGGGAGTTGTTCCTTCCTTTTCGATGCTTCTGCACTCGTAAAGACGTATGTATGATTGGACAATCAATTTCATTTTCATGGGTGTAAATCAATACCAATGTACATTCATATGATACTTAGTCATTGTGGGTATTGCATTTGCATCACAGATTCAATGTCAAGACATTGTGCTGGAAGATTCAGATGTAGCAAAAGCATTGATCGAGTATTCGAATCAGATGGCGATTGAGACCTTAGTATTGGGAGCCGGCTCCAAAGGGGGCTTGTTCAGGTACCTTTGATTGTTTGAGTTTGAACTGGTGTTAAATTCTTCCCAATTGGAGAAGTGGGTTTTGCTTAACTTCCATAGAGTTTCTTCTTCATGCAAGATTCAAGACCACAGACATACCTGGGGCTGTGTCGAAAGGGGCACCTGATTTTTGTACAGTGTATGTTATATCCAAAACCAAAATCCAGTCTGCAAGATCTGCTTCTCGTCCTGCTCCCCAAATCTCTCCTTTCCGCAATGTCTCTAGCCAATCAAGCATTAAATCCAGTTCATCAGACCATTCTGTCCCGCCAGCTAGAAGAGGTAATAACTTATGAATGCTTTTCTCTTTTCTTCTTGTTGGTCTTGTTCTTGTTGTACAAATCAATGTAATGAGTTTTGAAAGTCAAGTCAGAAATTTGTAGTTTGATAATAGAATATATGATTTCCACCATCAGGCGAGAGGCCTCCAATTGATCCACCACGGAAATCGAGTAGTGAGAATTCAGATTTTTTCAGGTTAGTAATTAAACTAGTATGCTGCTTTGAGAACACATAACAGGATATATATGTGGCTAACAGATTGTTCTGTTCTTTTTGTTTATGTCGGAAAACAGGTCTCCATTGACGAGGAAAGGTGCGAATGTGAAATCATATGGTGATATAAACTTGGCCGAAACAGATATATCATTTGTTAGCTCCGGAAGACCAAGCATTGATCGCATGTTCCCAGCTTTCTATGATAGTAACAACAATCCAGATGCAGGACGACCACCAAGGCTATCAAATCTTTCTGAGCTAGAAAGCGATCTCAACAGCTTTGAGTCGGCAATGCAACCTGGTAGGAGATCACTAGATATCACCTCCTCCCCTAGATTGTCATCAGTCTCCCAGGAAAATGAAAGGCTCTCCTCAGTATCACAATCCATGGTAAACTGCATGCTTGGTTTTCAAGCAAAACCATTTTAAGATGGAACAACTTTTGCTCAAGTAACGAGTCTGTAACTGTTGCAGGACGATGTGGAAGCTGAAATGAGAAGGTTGAAGCTAGAGCTAAAACAAACAATGGAAATGTACAGCACAGCCTGTAAAGAAGCGCTTGTAGCACAGCAGAAGGTAAGTAAGCAATGCATGAAGTATACTGAAAAACTTTACTTGCATCAGTAATTGGAAAAGCTAAACCATTGTTTGGGGTTTGAACTACCAGACAAGGGATCTACAAATGTGGAAGCTAGAAGAAGAGAGGAGGCTCGAAGAAGCAAGACTAGCTGAGGAAACTGCTTTGGCAATAGCTGAGAAGGAGAAAGCGAAAACTAAAGCAGCTATCGAAGCAGCTGAAGCTGCTCAGAGGATTGCAGAGCTAGAAGCACAGAAGAGAATCGACGCGGAGATGAAAGCAATTAAAGAATCTGAAGAGAAGAAGAAAGCACTTGACACTATCATGCACTCTGATGTCAGATACAGAAAGTATAGCATTGAGGATATTGAAGCTGCCACTGAAAATTTCTCCAACTCACGCAAAATTGGAGAAGGAGGTTATGGTCCTGTCTACAGGTGCAATCTTGACCATACACCTGTTGCCATAAAGGTCCTTCGACCGGACGCTGCTCAAGGAAGGTCCCAGTTTCAGCAGGAGGTATATATACATTAACGAATGCTAGTAACGAGTTTTATTTGTGTGGTGTATTGTTGAAATAGATTGTTTGTGAAGAATTACTAGCTATTCAAAGTAGATATGTAGGGGGTGGATTGTGAAAATGGTACTGTTGAGTTGGAATTTGTTTTTTTTTTCACAGGTTGAGGTGTTGAGTTGCATTAGGCACCCAAATATGGTCCTCCTACTGGGTGCTTGCCCGGACTATGGATGCTTGGTGTATGAGTACATGGCGAATGGAAGCCTAGAAGACCGTCTCTTCCGACGAGGCAACACCCCTCCTCTATCATGGCAGCAGAGATTTCGTATCGCTGCAGAAATTGGAACCGGCTTATTATTCCTCCACCAAACCAAGCCTGAACCCCTTGTCCATCGAGACCTGAAACCAGGCAACATTCTCCTTGACCGGAACTTCGTCAGCAAGATCAGCGACGTCGGTCTGGCTAGGCTGGTCCCGCCTGCGGTGGCAGACAGCGTTACACAGTACCGAATGACATCCACCGCGGGAACATTCTGCTACATCGATCCAGAGTACCAGCAGACAGGAATGCTGGGGATCAAGTCCGACATTTACTCCCTCGGGATCATGTTCTTGCAGATAATCACAGCCAAGCCACCGATGGGGTTGACCCACCATGTGGACAGAGCCATTCAGAGGGACACACTGGTTCAGATGCTTGATCCTGCTGTGCCCGATTGGCCCATGGAAGAGGCCAAGAAGTTTGCTCAGTTGTCACTGCAGTGCGCCGAGTTGAGAAGGAAGGATCGGCCTGATCTGGGGAAGGTGATCTTGCCTGAACTCAACCGGTTGAGAACTCTTGCCGAGGAGAGTGTGCAGCAGCAACTGCCTTTTTTTGCTGGCAATACTCCCCTTCATTCCCCGAGCTCCTCCCAGGTTTCTCTCAAACTAGTGAGTCGTCATTCATAGCCACCCACACCCTTTATTACCTTGATTATGTCGATATTGCTTATCATTGCTGACTGCGCGACAATACATGGTTTCCTCGACAATGCATCATTCTTCTTGTCTGAATACGATAGGAAAAACATCAAGTCCAGTGTCTTTTCAGTATAATAGCTTCATGACGAATGTTGTATTGTGGTATTACACACATTCGTACGATTACATCTCACACAAATACGTTGATTTCTGAAAATTCATGCATTCTGCAATATTTCTACTGAAACGATGATGTAATTAGCTGGATGGTGGTGTTTGCAGAATGAACCTGCTTCTGTATAGAGCGGCTGTGGAAACTGGAAATGAGCTGAAGTCATGTACTGTAGACAGCAGCCATGCCAGACCCCTGAAGAGGCGAAGATGAAGATTTGTACATTGTGATTCTTTTCTATAATTTTCCTCTTTTAAGTATTTTCATGGTGTATATAGTAGTTGTGGATTGTGAGTCTTGGGTTGGCTCAAGAATGAAGAAAGTAGCAACATGAAAGATTTTAAGAATAAAGGAGCAATTTATCAGTATGCTTAAATTTTGAGGGGCGAAGTGTAATTTAAATTTCGTTATCCGCTCCAAGGTTCTTAGGTCCTTACCGTGTTTGCCAGACCGACCGACTGAGTGAGAGAGAGCTTCTCTGCAACTGCGAAAATGGAAGCAACTCCCTCCATTCTTACTTCTTCCGCTGCTTCTTGCTCACCGTCTCCTTCTTCTTCTTCCTATCCCATTTGTTCAATCCCTCACCTCAGAATCGGTAGTTCCCGGTCATCAATTCCCCTCCGCAAATCACACCTCTTCAGCCCGCTCTCGCTGCTGCTTCCCGTCCCCTCCGCGTCTTCTTCTTCTCTCCGAGCGTCCTCCTTTCAGGTAGTTCAAACTCCCGCCGCCACCGACGCTTCGCCCGACGCCATGGATGTCGCGATGCCCAAGATTGACAAGAGTGGGAGGTTTTGCAGCCCACGAGCTGCTCGGGAGCTCGCTCTGTACGTGCCTCCTAACTTTGTAGTTCTCTTCTGCTGCTTTCCATGCCTTTTTGTGTCAGTGAACCTCCAGAATCACTGTAGTAGCGTTCATTATCCGCAAATTTCGATGGGTTTTAGCAAGTCTGTCTTTTGAGTTTCTGAGCGAGCATCTAACCTTCATCAGCAATTCGAATAATTGCTTCCTGTTAGTAAGGAAATCCAAATGTGGATATCATGAAGCTCGAAAGGGTTTCAAACCTGCGTGCATCTGTTAGTGTTTACCTCCTCTTTGCCCCCCGAGGTTTTGAAGATGTTCATTCAGCTATTTTCACAAACACGTTATGGGCCCTATCTGTTGATGCTTCTTCCGTATCTGCATTCGTCTTGGTTGGTGCTCCGTTTGATGGAGACTGATTTGGAATTCTTTTGGCATGTAGATTGATCGTTTATGCGTCGTGTTTAGAAGGGTCTGACCCAATTCGACTGTTTGAGAAGCGGATGAATGCAAGAAGAGGTGATTGCTTCCTGAAATGATGAGTTAACTTTTGGACTGGCTATTGAGATAAAGCTTTACTCTTTAACTGATTTGGTTTCTTCTGAAATGTTGGAAATCCAGAGCCTGGGTATGAGTTTGATAAGTCGTCTCTGTTGGAGTATAACCACATGAATTTCGGAGGACCACCTGTTACAACGGAGACCATTGAAGAAGCTGATGAGCTGCTGTGCATAAATGACCATGAATCCGCCATTGGTACTTATATCTTCTATCCTTTTGGGACTGTACTTGTTCATGGTTGCATGAATGTAGTTGCCTGAATTCTTCTTTCTCATGGCAAGTTAGTTGTAGAGGGCCACCAGCGCTTGTGAGTTGTGACACACCTTATTGCTACTATCTAACCTGAAACAAGCAGAGTTCTGGACTGTTGAATGCTATTAATATAAATTGCGTTCGAGAAAATGATGAATAGAATACCACATTTTGCTGGGACCTTGATGCCTTTGTTGTTGCTTTCATTTCAGAAGCTGAAGTCCTTTCAGCGCCTCCGAAGCTGGTATACAGCAAACTGATTTTACGGCAAGTACATATTCTGCTAGTTAAGAGATGAATGGTTTAGTCGAGATAACATTGTATTGACTGCAGTTCTACTCAATAAATTGTGGCAGTCTAACAAGGAAGCTTTTGGTAGCTGTTGTGGACAAGTGGGATAGTCATGTCCGAATTATAGACGAAATAGCTCCTGCGAACTGGAAGGTATGCATGCTATCATCCTTCTCTTTTGTGTAAAGGTCTGTACGTCCACAATCCTCTTTAGACAAGGAGGACGGGTACAGAACCTAAGCTCTTACTAAGAATTGTTATAAATGGAGAATTTGCTAATAAGATAGTTGGAACGTGCTTTCTTTGTTCACTTGGAAACTATTCCCTCTCTGCACCAGCTTCTATTATGGGTTTAAACCGAAACACATTTTCCCCATGATATTTGTAGTTGTGCATGCGACGTCTGCACTGTTTCCACTTTTAGGGCATACTAATAACAAATTTATTGATGCTTTTGTTGCTAAGTTATGGATGGAGCATGGCCGTAAGTCAATGGGATAAATTCACCATAACTCATATTTTTCTCTTCCGTTGTATTCTAGTCAGCAAGATTGTAGTAACTTTCTTGTTCTTACTGTTCAGAATGAACCAGCAAGCAAAATTTTGGAGCTCAGCATCCTCCATCTAGCAATGTCTGAGATTATAGTCATCGGGACAGCACACCAGATTGTCATCAACGAGGTACCAAAGCATTGATCTTTGCCAGAAGCCTTCGATTTGTGTTACTGACTGCCTTGCATCGTTAGCCATTCATTCTGACTTCATGATATTGATATGCAATAAACGGAAATGAAGGCTGTAGATCTTGCTAAAAGGTTCTGCGATGGCGCAGCCCCACGGATCATCAACGGATGCTTGAGGACATTCATGAAGGGTCTTTTTGAAACCGAGTTAGCTCAGGATGCTTCCTCCACCAAGCAGGAAGTCGTACAACTCGACCGCAGTCTGCTTGGACAAAAGAACGTATGAACAACGAGTCACGACTACCATGTTATAGGAGAAGAAACAACCTATGGAGAAGGCCTGCTAGCTCCCGGAACCCATTCCATCGGAGCTGTAGAAGAAGCATCAAGTGGCGGGTATCAAGAGTATAGTATATGATTTGTTGTTGTTGTTGTTGTTATTGTTGTGTTAGATAGTGGATTTTAGCAGCAAACTAACTTTGTTCGATGTATTGTTGTTGGCAAATGCCTAGAATGGATGGTAGACTAAACTAGTTGGTGGTACTTAGGTAATCAGAGCGTGGAACGGGACTACTTACTGAGAATGAGTGTGCCACTTGATTTTACGATGGATGTTGCAAAACAAGCAGCTAGGGGTGTGCAATGGTCCGGTCCGTACCGGATCACATTGGACCAAACCGTTGTTAAGACCGGACCGGACCAGACCGAGTAAAATGCGGTTCGGTTCTTGGTCCTAATAAATTTTATAATTACTGAAGAAATGGTGGACCGAGCTCATATTTGGACCTGACCGAACTGGACCAAATGGACCAAATACAAAAATGGTCCGGTTCTTGGTCCTAACATATCTTTCATTAATGGACCGCGGTTCTTATAAATTTGGTCCGGTCCGAACCGAACCGTTGCACACCCCTACAAGCAGCAAAAGAGAGCTATTCATTGGGCAAAGCAACAGCAGCGGACCCAAAAGTTTGGGTTAAAAAATCTCCCGACTTGAAGAGGCCCGATAGTTAGGTTAATAGTGACTGGGCCGGATTATTTTTCGAGCTACGGCTCTTCTTACTGGACTGGACTAGGGTTTTGTTCAGAGTAAGAGACTAAAGAAAGAGAACTGTCTCTCTCCCTTCCTCTCTCGCCATGTTTTCTCTGCTATATAAAGTGAAGAACCGGCTGCAGTGTGTATTGAGCGCATCGCTGCCAATTGGGGAATGGAGGAGGAGAAAGAAGAAGCTCTCAAGCTACCCGCTTTCTTTCTGGAATCGATTCAGTTCAAATGCTTGCTTTTCTTTCTCTCTGTCTTCTGTATTGAGTTTAAGTTATCATTCATTCGCGCCTGATATTGCAATTCCCTGATCTGGATTTCGGTCCGTTAGTAGATCTCTGAAGGGAATCTATCGTCAGGCGAAAGTGAAAGAGTGCGCTGTGGATTATAGACTCCACTGCGCCTCTACCTTTTAGCTCCGACCTTCCTCCCCTGGGGTTTGTCGGTGACAAGGTTGATACATACACTTCTTCTTCTTCTTCTTCTTCTTCTTCTTTTGGTTTTCTTCCTAATGGGGAAAGCAGCAGCATGAGTGTGAAGGTAGAGGAGATGGGGGTGATGAAAGAAATCAGACGGATTCCCACTGAATCTCTATAGTGATTATTCACCAGCTACTTCTGACCCTTCTCATCGTCTCCATTCAATGCAGCTGCTGTTTTCGTTTGTATTTCAAATCGTTTTCGTCGGTTCCTTTAGTATTTTTTCTCTTCTCTCCGATTCATCTTAGATTGGATACAATAAAGTATTAAACTTTTCAGCTATGTTTGGTGGAAGAATGAATAATGATTGGCCGGTGATGTAGAATCTATATATTTGCTACTCTTGACTGTGAGCTTTGTCTCATCAATGATGATTCCTTACCACCAAGATCTCTGAGGCTACTCTCTCTCTCTCTCTCTCTCTACCCTTTACTCTGATGATCAATTATTTTTCTGTTTGTTTGATTGTTTGTTTGTGGTTTCTGCAATCTTGTTGCTGTAGTGTAGTCTGTAAAAGTTTATCCAAGTCCAGGCTGGTTGGAGCTATCGCTTACCAGTGAAGTGCCCTATGTTTGCAATGTATAATTTTTGTAATGAAGCAAAAGGATCGAAGAATGATAAAGAGCTGTCTGTCTTCTTCTCCATCTTTTTCCTCATTCGCCAATTAGTTGTGTCAATGTGTAACCTTTTTCTTGATTGAAAATGAGTTCTAACATGATTCAGATTTCTATTTGTGAAGCGATATCAATTCATATATTGTGGTCGAAAGAATATAGGATCAGTGGAATTTGCTCAATTACTTTGAAAATTTATATTGCAGCTGGGATATTTTGAACTGCTGAAACTGGCTATAGTTGATACATACACATCTTTGAGGAGATGGGGGATGATGAAAGAAATCAGACGGATTCCCACTGAATCTCTATAGTGATTACTCACCAGCTACTTCTGACCCTTCTCCTCGCAGATACTGTTTTCATTTTGTATTCCAAATCATTCTCCTCTCTTCCGTCGGTTTTTTTCTTCTTCTAATGCAGGTAAGACTTCCCCGGCGAGCTTTGTCTCATCAAATGATTTAGAATCCATTTATTTGCTACTCTGGACTATGAGCTTGTCTCATCAAATGATTATTCCTTATTTATCTGTTTGTTTGTCTGGAAACCTTGATCTAATTCCAGGCTACAGGAGGGAGCAGCTATCGCTCACCAGTGAAGTCAACAGAATGATGAAGAATTGGCTGTCTTCTCTCCATCCTTCCTATTTTCACGAGTTAATTGTATAAATGTGTAACCTTTTCTTGAATGAAAAAGAATTCCAACATAATTAAGCTTTGTATTGCCCTTCTTTTTGTGCCATCCTAAAACTTTGGTTATCCTATCTATGATACTATTCGTCAATCTTTTACTTAGTAATCCAGATTTGTTTCTCTTTAGAAATGTTGAAGATTTAACTATATAATTATATGCTTACTGGAGTTAATTCCCCCGACAAGCAGTATTTGGGTATTGGACAGAAATTGGTTATGGTCATGCAAGCTAATCGAAGTTGGATTTGCACTTTACGTTAATAATTAATTGAGAACAATAAATTGAAGGTGGATTTGCACTTTACGTTAATAATTAATTGAGAACAATAAATTGAAGGAATAGAATAATTGAAGATTTGTTTCGAGGTAATCTTTTTTGTTTGTAGTAACTACACCCAACTACAAAACAAAGACCATAATCACAAAATTAAACTACCCCAAAGCCCAATGGCCTACCCCACTAGGTAACCTAAACCAAAAAGAATGATAAATAGGTTAATTGGTCGAACTCAATATAACCAAAAATCATAATATTCGATTCTCAAGAATCGCAACAACAACAATTATAATTGCTAAAATGATAATAATTCGATTTTGGATAACCAACCAATTTGGTTTGATTAGCATAAACTGAACCGAGGTTCAGTCCTACTTAGTTAATGTATAGACATGTTTAGTATCAATCCAATTCTCCCTGCACATCACCCGCAACACATGGATTTATGTGTCTTACAATTTGATTTGGGCCGTGCATCACTTGACCTAAGGCATATGAGTTGCATGGTTGAGACTTGAGAGGGTACAAAAGCAACTCACCCCGATTCATGTAGACCCACTAATCATAGTTCATTTTATTGATCTCCTTTCCTTAAATCTAATGAAAAGGAAAGAAAACCAATGAAGTACACAATAAATGTCAAACAACATAAAACAAATTAAAAATTGATAAAAAAAACTTGTTTTACATTTATATCACTTAATTACATAAGTGTAGGAAACAATCATCATGTATTATTAGAATCTTGGTAGGTCCAAACAAACTGGGAACAAAAAACTCGTATTTGCTTATTTCCTACTTGTAACATATTAATGGAGTTAGACGGAAACTAACGGAGAGTGACTAAATGTGACATGTTTCGGTAATTCGAGTGACCAAAATTGATATTAATTTTTTTTTAGCGAGTAAACATGACATGATTTAATAATCTCAGTAACCAAATGTGTCATTTAACGCATTATACGTTCCACTATTTTATCCAAAAATTTGAAACATCAGTTACCTAAGGATATCCACCTCAAATTGATGCATACTTCATTGAATTACGAACAACTAGTATGCTATTCGACAGCAGCCGCAAAGCGCGGTCCGCTTATCTAGTTTCTGTAGAAATGTAAGTGAAACTCTCAACCTATGTCTATAGTCTATACAAGACTTCCTTTCTTAGCTAGTACCTGTCAGGAAAATTTATTCGATAAAATAAGAATTCACTACAAAAATAAACTAATCCAAGTTTCTTCAACCTAAATTTGCTTACTCCCGTTCATCACAAAAACAATCTCATCCCGGTTCTGCAAAATATAGGTGTGCCAAACGAGGGTCCGGGAGTGAAAACTACTTGCGCGGTCATCCTTCGTCGAGTTCCTGGGATTGTGTGCTACTGAACTCCGCATTTGCAATAGGGCTGTTTCAGCGAAAAGCAGTTTTGCACAGACCGACCTGGCTTCCTGTCTATGTTGCTTCCACTGCTGCAGGTTCTTCAACCTTGGGTTGCCTCTTGGGTCGCCCGCTTCTTCGAACATCGTTACTTGACAAATACTCCAACGCTTTCTCCACGGTTAACTCGTCTGGATCCACATTCTGAAATATTGAAGGGGACACCATGTATCAAAACCCAGGGACAAGGAATGCAGCAAGCAAACATTCGGATGACGATCGTTCTATAACGTCGATCTCCTACCCCCCATTAAATACCGACTTTGTAACAAAAGGACATACCTTGGGGACGGAGGCAATTGTGCGTCGATGTCTAATATTAAACCCATTCTTTGCAAGCTTTAATATTATAGGATGTCCATCCTTTGGGTGGTCTCCCTGGAGAAGATGATTTAAGTTTTGAGTTAAGAATTGAAAAGAAGAGCATCTGCAATTCCAAAGTTTGCTGGATATGGCGTACCAATGTCAATGGGTAGCGCAACAATTTTAGAGCCTCCTCCAGTGTAATGGCATCCACCTCCTTTATCTGGAGACATAAGGTGCTATCAGATAATTGCAAACAGATACACAACTAGCTGAGCAAAAGGAACTTTAATTTTAGATAGCAAACAGATAATTGCAGAAAAGAAACGGATACATTTACATGGGATACGGATGTTCTTTTAGGGATATAGTCCTTCTTATCTTCCCCAAGCTGAATGTAGAATCCATAAGGACCTTTCTTCAATAAAATCTGGAAAACAAAGGACGGACGATCTGGTCATCATCTACTTCAAATGAAATCAAGAACCACCATTCAAGTTCGAGGGCTAATTTGTGAGAATAACAGAGGTTAGGCATACCTTTTCCTTGGAAATTGGATGAAGACCTAATACTTTTGGCTCCTCCACCGTACCAGCATTTTGGGGAGGTTCTTCATCTTCTTCGTCTCCAAGCAATGTCTTGGCAATGTACCTTGCAAATATAAACTCCAAGAAAATGAGCCAAATTGTAAACAGTTGAAAACAAAGAAGAAATATAAGCTCTTAAAAATATTTTGATATACCCACTTGCACTTTGGATGCTGATCACAGCCGATGAAGTAACCTGCACCATACCTACTCACTTTGAAAATCAAAGTGCCCTCCATACAACTGAAACGATACAATGTAACAAGAAAATGTCTCATTAACTTGACGAACTAAGGCTTATGCACACTGCAGTGAGTAAGCAGCGGCTTTAACAAACAAAGAATTGTGGTTAGTTAACCTAGCAACATATAAATAGAACATTAGAAAAGAATTACCTCGGGCAAGTCCTGCTTTCGGAACGGAGTGAGCCAAACAAATGGTCGCCAAACTTTTTTTCTAACATTTTCTCCACCTGTAAGCATATCACACAAGCAAAAGGGAGGTTGAGCTTTCCACTGGTGTTCCAAACAAGAGGGGGAAAGAAATTTACATCTGGGAATTAAAATTGATTGCAGCACTCTGAACTTACCTGATGAATGTGGACAGTTTCGGTACTGCTGCAGTATGAGCTAAATCTTGTCCAATAATCTCTAAGAAGACCTTTCCATTCAGTAAGTCCAGCAGAAACATTATCAAGCTACATGCGAAAAAGACAAGTTCAGAAATCAGCTCGAGAAGAATGAGAATCCTACCAAAGTAAAGATATTTTATTTTGAGTTTTTAGGATTGGTGGTTAAAAGGTCACCTCAGTCTCCATATCAGCAGTAAAGCTGTAATCTGTGACCTCCGTAAAATAGTTTGAGAGAAATGCTGAGACCTAGCATCAACCCAACTGATCAACATTATTGGTCATCTCACACAATGTAGACTGAAAAAAATTAATAATAGCACCAGAACCTACCATTCGACCACGAAATTCTGGGTACATCACACGGCTTTTCGTCACCACATATTTCCTGTCCTGAAGTCATAAAGTAGATCATGTCCAAAAATAACAAACATTACAACTAGCAGACGTACATATCCAATCAGTGTCATGATTGCTTAGCTTTTGTTTTAGTTTGAGAAGTGGAATATAATGTGAAGTAAGATATATTAAAGTTTCTCGTATTGAAGGGAAAGAGATTGACCCAAGTATGGAAAGATTAGACACGTCGGTGCTAATATGCACATAGCTACCAACCAATAAACTAAAACAGCATAAACATTTTCATAGTTACTTTTATTTTTTTCCTACAATGCTTGGATCCAGTCATAAATTGTGATCTGTGCAGGCATCCCACATTGAGGAGCAGAGGGAGGCTTGACAATGCATATTTAGAAACTGATGATTGGAATCATTCTAATACGTTGTAACAACCACCAAACAACTAAAACAGCATCCATATTTTCCTCGCTATTATTTCCTAAAATATAACTAAAGAATGTTTGATCAGTTCTCAACATTAGTTACCTGTAAAACTTTCAATGTGCTGGCATAAGTTGAAGGTCTTCCAATCCCAAGTTCCTCGAGCTTCTTAATCTTTCATGAAAATTAAAATGGCATAAGCACCAACACGGAATGTCAGAAAAGACCAAACACATCTCAAACAGTCGGTGAATTTCAATAAGCAAACATGTCAAAATTCGTACCAATGATGCTTCAGAATAGCGCGGTGGAGGCTGAGTAAAGTGCTGCTTGGATTCAACTGCAGCAATAGACAAGGCATCCCCTGCCTACAGAGATTTCACTTAGAAGTTCCAAATTAAAGCAACCCAAGGAAACTTTTAGAAGCATAAGAAACTAGAACATAATGATAAAGGTAAGCAGCTGACAAAAATATTGCCTCAGAAAAATCATCTACATCATTCAACCATTAAATGAACATCAACTGTGAGAATATCCACCTTCAAAGAATTAAGGTCTCCAGAAGCTTCTTGATGAGGGTCCTCCTCATCTTCTTTGCCTCTTAGAACTCTAGTTTCGACATCCTAGAATGCATACAAAGGCCTCAAGTGAATGAACAAAACAAAACTCATATCAACTTTAAGAACTAAAATCATCGGCACATATACTAAAGGAATTTCATAATATATGAATATATCAGGCCCAAAAAGATTTTGAAGTCAACCAATAGAACATTTAATGTAGATATGGACCTTCCTCTCACCAAAATATGAGTACCTGATAAACTGCTTGGTAGCCACGAAATGCAACTCTTGAACACGAAGATCTAAATATGATTGACTTGCTAACATTTCCAATGTCCACTTGCAACTGTTTTGACAGAAATTGCACAAGTGAATGCTTATATAAGTAGAGTCTAATAGAAACAAGAAACAGAAGGACAATGTTCCAACCTACTGCCTAAATTAGGTCCTGTGTTAATATAAAAATCTTTGACTGAATTCTAGTATTTCAAACCACCAGATACCCGCTGATCACAGGATATGCAAGTCAGTAGTAATGTAATTGCCAGATATTTGGGTTAAATTGGAAAAAAATCAAAGGAAACTGTGCTAATAGATGCAAACTATCTTTGAGAGGTGATGCTTTAGACTGATGTATCTCATTTTCAGGCGTTCAAGATTTACTGGACACTGAGGCAAGGACTGGGGATAGCAGGAGCTTCTTTGGAATGGTAAGGGATGACAACCAGAAGAAAATCGTAACACAGCAGGAGCACTGCTCTAATGGCTGCTCAAGGAAATTTTTCGGCCAAGGAGGTACGTGTCACAGCAAAGAACACGATGTATCAATTCAAATCTTTGCAACGCCATCAATGAGAATTCCAGTATCTTTCAGATGATTTACACACTGCAGCTGCTTCAAAATTCTCTTCCAAGCTTCTCCCTCCGGTTTGGATTGAGCTTCATGGTAAATTTTCTACTAGTTTTAATAGGTTAATGGGGTAAGCTCTACATGAGTATTTGTGTTTTCACGGCTAAACAAAGGAGTTCTGACAATTTCATTGGAGGAACCTATCTGAAGAATTTAGGGTTCCTACATGTAACTGGCCTTGGATGGTGTCAGTATAACCGACTTCTTTATCATTTTATATCTTCCAATGTGTTCATTAATGGCCATAGATTGACTAGTGTATTTGGGGATGTGTTACACACATGAGCGAACTTTAATGTTAATTACTGCATGGATTAACTGGATTGGAAATCCTCTAAAGAGAGCACTGTACAATTTATACAAAACAGAAACCACGGTATATGTTTAACTCCAAGAAATTAATCAAGTTTGAGAGTGGAATTTATGGAACAAGAATGTAATAACTAACCTGTTCGACTATAGCTGGCTCCATTTGGCATGCCACACTGCGAGACCAGATAAGAGTGTATAACTTCAACGCATCCTCGTCAAGAACACCGGCAAGCATTGCTACAAGTCAACAGAAAAAAATATCATCGACATCTAGCACATCAATTCCATGGGAGAAACCCCAAATTTGCATGTATGTCAAATTAGAGACAAGATATTATGTTTCCAGTAAACTGTGGACCTACATGGGAACATCTTAATGTCGGTTGGTCTGATTGCTTCATGGGCCTCTTGTGCATTCTTCACCTTCTTAAAATACTTGCGTGCACTTGCTGATGCAAAATCCGGGCCATACCTATGGGAAAAGGACTGTTCAATTTAGCAGTCGAACAAATAACAAACAAATGAAAGAGCAGAAACAGCAGAAAACTGTCGTCCAAAGCATGGATATTATACAAAACGATGTCATTTATACAATCATACAAATGTGTTCCTAAAACTAAAGTCCAGACTGGAGCAAAACACAAACAGAATTACCAGACACATCAGGGCACAAAAAACTCACCTTTCAGTGATCAGAGAGCGTATATCCTTGAGAGCTTCATCTGAAATCTGAGCAGGGAAAAGTAGAAATATAAATTTAAGGAACATGAAAAGAACTGAATGGCTTTTACAAATAATTGCCACAAGTAGGAGTCACCAACCAGTGTGACATGACTTACATGAAGACCATCAGTTCTGGTATACGTAATCAACCCCTTTGCCTTCCCCTCTGACAACTCAATCCCTTCATAAAGTTTTTGTGCAAGCTGGAGCATCAATTCCAAGTAAGAGCAATGGAAAAATCACCAACTTACAATCAAATTAAACACGAAAACTAACAAGATGAAAGAACGATAAATGTGAAATCTTCTGTAAGGTAAGGGAAGAATCAAGAATAACTTGGAACATGAATACTTTGTCTAATGTATAACACAAACAAAAGCGCGGGACTTTCTACGATCTTTATGAACGACATAGTAAAGTGAGGGCAGAATTTCTGGAATCAGCATTCAATTACAGTAAACCAATGAAATGACATCAAAGGAAGAACCCCACTCATGATAATAGCATTATGCACAGGCATGAAAGGATAGATAATGCTACACATGGAATTTTCGAGAAAGTACCAAATGAATTTTTTAGAAATATAAACATATGCATTGATACCTTCATAGTGTATGATGTGTTAAACTGTAATTTGTTTGCAGCATCTTGCTGAAGCGTTGATGTGATGTATGGAGTGGGAGGGTTTCTTCGCATTTGCCCTTTTTTGCAGCCAACTACTTCAAATTGTGTAGCTTTAATCTTCTGTTCAACGTCCTCTACCTCCTTACCAGAACTAAACGAGAACTGATTCAGCTTTTTCGAATCAAAACAGGTCAAGCGTGCACTGAGTGCAGAACCTTGTACTTCTTTATTCAATTTAGCCTCGATGCTCCAATATTCTTGTGGCTTAAACTCATCAATTTCAGCTTCCCTGTCAGAAATAAGAGCAAGGGCAGCTGATTGCACACGCCCTGCTGATTGACACCCTGGTAATTTCCTCCATAATAATGGTGAAATGTTGAATCCAATCAGATAATCAAGAGCACGTCTTGCCAAGTAAGCATGTACTAAGTTTACATCAACATGTCTTGGGGCTTGCAAAGCACTTTTAATTGAGCTTTCTGTTATTTCATGAAAGACAACCCTTGCAACATTGATACCCTCATGTAGGGCATCCTGTTGCAGCAGCATCTCAGTAATATGCCAAGCAATAGCCTCTCCTTCACGATCAGGGTCTGACGCAAGAATAAGATTTTCTGCTCTGAGGGACAAGCACGAGAAGAGATCATCAGAACACAGACATAATGAGAAGATAAAAAAACACATACAAATCAAAGAGTAGGCACGACATAGGGAAATCCACATGAATGTGCTGGTATGGCTGTGGCAGCCGCATTCAGTTTTATATTGATTCATAATACTAAATAAACTGAATGGCGTAGAAAACATACCCACTTAGAGCGACTTTAATGCTCTTAAGGTAAGTCCAGGCAGCAGAAGGAACCTCCCACACCATGCTAAAGTCCTCGTCAGGGCGAACGGATCCTGACCTTGCAGCTAAGTCCCGGACATGGCCATAACTAGGCAGTACTTCATACATACTGCCAAGATACCCTTGAATGACCTTTGCCTTTGTAACAGATTCAACCACTACAACAGATTTCCCAGTAGGAGGATACAACTGTTTCAAGGTCCCTTGTTTAGGAGGCTTCAAGTTGCTCATCTGCTGAGGTTTTTGCTTCTCAACTGACTCATCACCAACAGTTGCCGATTTGCCCTTCCTCCGAGAGTTAGTACTTTTCTTCTTGACCTTCTGTTTTGTAGAAGCTGAAACATCCAGCAGTTTTTCGGATGCCTTTTCAGTTGACTTCTTCTGCAAGACTGGAGATGTCAGTTTAAATACTGCTGACTAGTAAAGGATTAAAATGCCAACTATTTAAACAAATAAATTCACAAACCTCTTCTGAACTAGTTTTGGCAGAATCAGCAGCAACAGCAGAAAGTTTCTTTTTTCCTTTCTTGCTTCTTGCCTTTGGTTTTCCATTGACTTCGGGGGCCTCAGTAGCAGAAGGAGATGAAACAGATGATTCAAGAGGCACACTCCCATTCGTATGATCGCTGGAGTTCAAGGCCTCAACATCATCGGAGGCTGAGACGCTCGTGTTAGCAGAACTGTTCTTCCTCTTTGCAGCCCAAGCTTTTGAACCCTTAGAACGTTTACCCTTAGTGAAATTCTTTTCAGCCGCTTCTGGCGATTGAGAGAAATGCCTCGTCAAGATAGCTCCATAACCATGTGCGGCCAATCCAACCTCTCGATTCAAAGCCCAGCAACATGAGGTGGTCCTGGGAGTAACAAGTCGAGGATACCCAGAGATACATACATCAGCCACCGTGCCCGACGACAACCTGGGCGCTCTAACTCTAAGTTGCGTGAAGTTCCTGCACCTCTGACGATTCACAAAGTGGGAAGTAGACAATAACCCGAACCCAGAAACATTCTGCAGCATCCCGCACTGCAAAGGAAAGTACATTTCATTTCCCACCATTAAAATGTGCAAGTTACTAGCTACTTTCACCAATGCAACAAGAGCCAAATTCTCACACATTGGCCCAAGTACACACCACACGAAGAACAATCAAAGCATAGAAGGGATAAAGCTCGAGTTTTTTTTTTTTTTCACATTTCTGAGCCTTAACTAGCAGGACTGAAGAAGAAATTAAGAGGGTACCTTGGACATCAGGGAATTAAACCGAAAAGCTAGCAAGGGAGAAGAGGACGTCGGCGAAGGCAAGAAAGAAGAGGAAGCAGAGGAGATGGATAAGAAGCTCCTCTGCAGTTGTGTTGTCATAGCCGTCTCGTCATTCGCTTTTTTGCAATTATCCCAATGGCGGTCTCGACTTCTTGCTGCGTCCTGCTTCCTTGTCGCCGCTGACGTCGTGCGGGCGGCTGGATAAAAGAACCGGCGGAGGGAACAGTCGGCGAGAGGTGCAAAGGGCGCTGGCGGGTTGGGAACGAGAGGCAGAGGTGAGGAAGTTCGTTATAGGGCTGTTGCCATTTACCATTAGGTTTGGGCGGTGGTGGGGATGGCTGCTACGGCGTCGGATCGGCGAACCTGGGTTTTGTAAATTATTTGTTTTCCTTGGTAAATAATCCGCTTCGACGACATCGTTTCCATCATTCAAAATCCTATCCAGCCAGTCTAGAATACCGGTGACTACCGGTGAGTTGTTGCATACTTGCATTAACGGTAAAAAAAAAACTGAATGGTTAAAGGTCGTCCTAAAAATTACTAACCATCATCCTAACTTAATATGTAATTTACCAAATTGCCCATTTTAAATTTCAAAATCAAACACAAAACAAACAACTCCTCCCCTTCCATAAATCTAAAAAAATATGTAAACCAAAATTCAACAAATTATCTTATGGACCGAATCATAAATCGTAGTAAAGAATAGAAAATTATTGATATAAACCAAACAAATCCAAAAAAACCCAAAGCCCCCTCAACCGAAGCCAATTTTCGGTAGTACCATGGCTCAACCTAAGGCAATTTTCGGTTGTACCATGGACCAACCGAAAATCACCTTCGGTTGCACCATGGCTCAACCAAAAATCACCTTCGGTTGCACCATGGCTCAACCGAAGCCAATTTTCGGTTGGTCCATGGTACAATCGAAAATTGCCTTGGGTTGAGCCATGGTACAATCGAAAATTGGCTTCGGTTGAGGGGTTTTGGAATTATCAAATTTTTACCTCGTCGGAGTCTCTACTCATGATTCGGACGTATTCTCAACGATTACGACTCGAGAATCTCAACGATGAATTCAAGAGTGTGGGAAATTGAGTGTTTTTCATTTTTTTTATAGTTAAAGTGATGTTTGTTTGCTAAAAATGCCAAAAGGTTAAAAGTGTAACTTTGTTATTTTTTAGGACGATCAATAGTAATTTTAAGGACGACCTTTATCAATTCCAAAAAAAATGGTGAATCATTGAACTATTGCCAACCCTAATTTGCTTTACATCAAACTAGTCAAATTTTGTGCCTAAATGTGCTAATCCTAAACCTAATTGGTCAATAAATGTTGTAAAATATAATATAGGAACCTGAATAATTTGAATTTTAGTAAGGTGTAGATAGAAGAAGATAGAAAATATAAAAACGACAATCACATAACATATGAAATTTAGGGGTCGTTTGCTTCATGGGTTTAGATGATGGATTTGATATCCAAATCCATTCCATCATGGATTTAACAAAAATCCATCGTTTGCTTACATTTCTTTTACCCATATATTGATGTGGGATTTGTAAGGGACTTGTAAATCCCACATATTGATGTGGGATTTGTAACATGTCATAAATCCATGATGAGATTTTACCCATATACCCTCATGAACTTTTAAAATTCCAAGGTTACCCTCACACTTACCTATTGTACATTATAAATAATCAATTAATTAACAACAAATAAATAATATAAATATTCAATTAATGTGCAAACATGAGTTAGATTTGTATACCCTTTTTTGTGTTCTAGTTTCCTTTAACCTTTTCATGGTACGTGTAATTCTTTGTTTCCCGGTTCTAATATATGTTGCTATATGTTAAGGTCGTTTGCTTGTAGGATTTTCATCATGGATTTTGGATCAAAATCCCACACCCATGGGATTATGTACAAAGTCCATATTTGGTGTTAAAGTGGTGTTGGATTATGGTGTGTGGGCCCCATGTATGTGGGATTATTTTGAGGTCAAAATTCGTGGGGTCCACAGATTATAAAATCCCACCTATTTAGTTGGAATTTTGTTGGAGGCTAAAATCCATTATGGTAAATGACGGGTCTATCCTCTTCTCTTTTCAATATTTTCCTAGATTGAACATAAGGATACAAATGTAAATTCAGCGCATAATTGATAAATTCCATGGACACAAATCCAATATGAAATCCAACAAGAAAACATGCATTTTTTAAAATCGAACACAAATCCAAAGTAACAAAATCCCACATAATCCTTCATCCATAAAATCCAAGGCTTTATCTAAATCCTTCATTTTCTAAAATCCTACAAGCAAACGACTTACTTTTGAAAAGGAGGACAATGAATTGGTAACCGATATATGTTTCGTTAAAAGTTAAACGGAATTTTTGAGTTTATTATTATTGTCCTTGTGGCAACATTATGCTTATTAGTACGTATTGTTTTTGTTTTGTGTACATATCATAAACATGACAAACAAATAGAAAAGGATAGTATGGTAATTTTGGACTTTTAAGTTCTAAAACTCAAACTCTTAAATCCATGAAAATGAAGGTTTTGAGTTTTAAAAACCTTTGGATTTATGATGGATTTGTTGCATCATGGATTTGGAAGAGTACATTGTTTAGTTGATTTTTTATCATGGATTTGTGATAGATTTGTCTCACATTTTTTCCTTCTATTGTTAAATCCCAAATGAAATGTGGGATTTACAAATCCGTGGGGTCCACGGATTTGGATATAAAAAAGGGGTCCAAATCCGTGGACCCCACAGATTTGTGTCCCTCAACAAACAAAGGATTTGTGTCAACTCCATGATGGTTCCAAATCCATCACCCAAATCCCACAAGCAAACGACCCCTAAGTTTTTAAATTACAAAACCCTCATTTTTAAATCCATGAAGCAAACCAACCCTAACGGTTCCAAGTGTCTGTACCTTTGCTAAAGTTTACTATGGGGAGAAAGCCATAAAGGAGGGTCTATAAGCTGAATGTCGATGCGATTGTGATGGCAACGGGAGGTATTGAGTTTGGATAAGTGATTCGAGATGAGGACGAAGGTTTTCATATGGTTGCGGTAAAAACGATGAGGGTTTCTTTGTCACCGAAACTCGCTGAAGCACAAGCAGCCGTGTGGGCTTCGAAGATGGCTTATCTACACCATTTCAAGCCGGTGCTCCTGGAATCCGACTACTAGAACCTAATTCCGAAATCGGATAAAGAAAGAAGAATCGACGATGGAAATCGGGACAATGGTGCAAGAGATAAGATGACAAGCAAATGAAATGAGCGAGGTCAAATGACGATTTTGGGGGAAGACAATGAAATAAGGCGATGATGGTACGCGACCTATGATTTTTCTTCTGTCTCAGCTCCATGTTGATTGAGTGTATTGAAACCCTTGATTAGTAATTGAAATTTCAAGCAAATGAAATGAGCGAGGTCAGAATTTCTGTTTGTCACGTCATAAAAAAAACTGACGGACAGAGTTAAATGAAGTCCAACGGAGACTGATGATCGGTGACTAATGATGAAACGATTCATAAAGATAGTGATGAATAAAAATGAAACGTAATTCGAACGACAGACAAACGTGAAAAAAGCTTTTATGTAATTTGAGTGACTGATTTATCCGGATCTCAATTGTGATTATCCATCCCATGCAAGGTTGTCAACCCGCGGGTCGACCGGCGGATTGACCTACTTTGACACTAACCCAGTGAGAAAAACGGGTCGCACGCACCCACCGGGTCAACCGCTACAAGGTAGCGGGTTGGAGGTCAAATTGTGTCATTTTGCGAAATGCGCCTATTTAACGATTTTTCTTTTCGCCTAACTCAATATTTGGAATCCTTAGTTGAACATTTGAATATTGATGTTATATAAGTGTATGTGAATTTTCACTATATGTTGGATCCAAATACGACATGTTAATTTGGTGTAATGTTATATGTTATTACTCATATGTTAGATGAGATTTGATATAATTTATCAAGATAAGTACAATATAATGACTCTTTCCATATTTCCGGACTAAAACAAGCTAAAACGAGTGACCCATCAACCCTTGATCCACTAACTCAACCGAATTCGAGTCAACCCACGAGTTGACAACCTTAATCCCATGTGTGTACTCGAGTTCATCAAGCTTTGAATTTTTTTTGTATTCAAACCGTGGGAAATCTGCCATTTGCATTTCATTTCCCGTTACAAAAAACAAACTCCGACACATTCTGTAAACGAAGATGATAATGAATCTAGGATTTAAAAAAAGTATCTCTTCTTAACAGTTCTCAAATGTAAGATTATAAAAATGGCGGATCCCAAATCTGCCACACCCAGAAGAAGGCCATGCATACCACACTCGCAGCTACTGCTACTGGTCGCAGCTCTTTACTCCGCAGTTCACACCCACCTCTCCCAAAAGAAAATATTAGATAAAGCAAAAACAAACAAACGTTCTTCCCTTCCTTTCATTGCCCTCTTTAATTCTCCCAACCGCCACCAATCAGTCTCCCCCAATTCCCCCATCTTCTCCACAGTTTCTCAACCTGAACCATCCATCCATCTCCATTTCCCCCTTTCCCTTCCCTCCAATTTGCTCCAGCAATGGTTCCCCATCTCCTTCTCTTCCTTCTCCTCATCTCCACTTCTTCCCTCTCGGGTATTCTGCAGCTTCAATTTCTACTCCCCCCCCAAATCTTTTAATTCTCCACAGCACCCTAACCTCTTTCGCTCTGGTTTTGCAGGAATTGAATCAGCAGCAGCTACTCTCAAGCTCACCAACCGCTGCCGGCAACCCATCTGGCCGGAAATCCTCCCCGGCGCCAGCTCCCCTCTCCCGTCGGGGAAATCCAGGACGATCCCCATCCCAAAGGGTTGGTCCGGCCGCATTTGGGGTCGGACCCTCTGCGAGACATCCGCCGCAGATTGCGGCAGCGCCGGGAAGGCGGAGCTCAGCCTCGACGGCGCCAACGCGCCGGCCACTTCAGTGGAGCTCGCTCTCGACGGCGCCGGCGGTCTGGAGTATTCTTACGGCGTGAGCTCGGTCGACGGGAGCGACGTCCCCGTGGCGGTGTTGCCGAATAAAGTAGGTCCGACCCGCGGGGGTTGCGGGCGCGCGGTTGGCCCGAACCCGACGGCGGCGCGTGAGGAGGGGGATGTCGCGTGTAATGACACCGGCAGCATTGCTACTACCCATACCGACCATGTCGTCGTATTCTGCCCCAAGCCGTATTCCAGGTAAAATGCCCAAAATAGCCCCCTCTCGTTCAATTTCCATATGTTGCTCTCACAGCTTTATGGTAAGCCGCAAATGTTGCCTGCCTGCCTGCCTGGCCATGATCCAGAACTCTGTGGCGTCTTTATTAGCTGTGGGGAATGGCCAATGGGGATGGTGGGGAAAGAAAGCTGTGGTGATTGTTGTGCTGATAGCGAAATGTCATGGTGGGCTAGTAGTAAATAGTAATCGAGTATTGGGTTCCAGAAAGAAGGGACCTTTCAGTACTCAACAGTAAACAGTGAATGTTTGCTCAATTCTGGTTATGAATAAAGAATACCCTTTGCTCCCAGGTACTAGAACAGTAATTGCTTGGAAACTAAGTTATCTAGCTTCTTACCATGCATTAGGAGCCATGTTTGTTACAAGGAAGGATTGAGTAAGGATTAGTATATAATGTCTTTTGAACAATATGCTTGTGATCTGAGTGCTTAAAATGTACGGCGTTCTGTAAAGCCGTGGACTCTGTGATTAAGCATTGTTATGGAATATAGATGTTCTTCGAGCTAATCCAATCTTGCCTTCTTGGATGCATTGAACTCGTGGTGCAGCGGGGAAGTTGTGGGAAGGAGGAGAGGCAGGAGGGTACCATTGTCACTGGTTAACAAGACGACAACGACAACAGCCTGGCCAAGCAGGCATCCGAATGGTGCTGCTCTCTCTTCAGGTCTGTTAATTAGATTGCCGCAGCTCTAATATGAATGCCAATTCTCTTCACAGCCACTTATCCATCCTCTTATCTTTGTTTCCACTCTCAGCTGCTGACATCAACTTGGATTTCACCGAAGCAGCCACCACATCGAGCCCAGCTGATCATCAAGTGAGTGTTTGATTACTTTAGAAGATATATGCATATGCCTACACGCTATGATTTGCTTATAAAGATCTTAACTTGTTAACCTTGCTGAATCTCGGTTCTTGGAAATGGAGGAGTCAAACGGGAGAGGTGATGAGATGATGACGCCGAAGATGGTAATGGAGCCGGTGAAGGTGGTGGAGATGAGAATGATGCTGAATGACCAGAGGAGGAGGCTCAACAGCTTCCAGATGTGTGCATTGTGCACTTGCTGTGGCGGCGGAAGTGGTGGTTCCAAACATTACTGCCTGCTCTCTCCATGCTGCTATGCAATCAACTGCAACATTCCAAACAAGCCCTTTGGTTTCTGCTCTTTCACTCCCAGGGCCTGCAATTGCTTTGGATGCCATGTCTAGCTAGCTTAGCAAAGCTTGCCCTCTTTCATTTTTGTTTTATCTTATATTTTAGGTCATTATTATAGTGGTATTATAATGTGGAGGGATGGATTAAGGAAGAATATCTGTTGTTTGATTAGATTAAATTGATTTGTTTATAGATTTTGATTTGTTTGGAGTATTAATCAAATAATAATTGCCTGTTTCTGCGCAAACTCTGCAGGGGACACCTAGAAAGGCATATGCAAGAAAGAAGACTAGTAATTAAGTGCAATGTGGGACTAATACTCCTTTAATTAGCTTTTTTACGGGTATGTGTGTGCATCCTTTTGTTAATTGATATGATTACAGTAGTGCTGTGGTAATCCAAGTGGGTTTGTTTTCTTTCTTTCTTTCTTTCCCCCCATTGTTCAGTCTGTTTCAGAGAAAGAATAAAGAACGTTCATGGTTGTTGCTTGTTAGCAGAAGAGATACATGTCTAGTTTTAATCATTTTATTCTCGGTTTATAAACCAGTCCAAAAGGGGTGGGTTGGTTTAAAGTTTAAACTCCATGTGGGGTTACTACTTGGAGTTCCAAGGATAAAAAGCAAAATGGTCAAACGGTTAATTGATCTTTTGATGTTCGGGTCGACCCTTGTTAGACGCATAGAAACACAGTTTCGACTTCTATGTAGATACCATCAATTGAAACGAGTTGATTAGGACGACGATGAGGCCAACTGTTATAAGCGACATGAAGGATGTTACATATTTTCATTTGGTTGACCAAACCAGTGGAATAGTCAGACTGAATGTGTTCGTTAGACTCCAAATTACTACTACTTGGAGTTTAATCCAAGAGCCCATAACAGAGTTGCATTTGTACAATATTATTTAAAAGTATGCTATGACTACTTAGAGAAAGGTAAAAGCCTGACATATGGTGTCAAATGTTTGTTATGAGATCCTTTTTTCGAATTTAAGTTATCATGTGTATAGCATAAAGTGTTATCGTCCATTCAGTTCTCGTAATACTCTATATAGTTTGATTGACGTCCTAACACCTTTTGTCAGAAAATTTCTCAACGCGTTTGTGCCATGAAGGTGTCTCGGTTGACGGCTTGTCCTGATACTCTACTTGGCATGTTTTACTTGGGTTCCTGTTGACTTGATGAAATTGTGACCGTGTTCGTGATGGCTACCTAGTTGAGTGTCGAGTTACGATAATAAGTTATAGATATCAAAGGAAAGCAAGTCCAAGCTAGAGATGTCAAGGATAAGTTCAATCCCCCAAATGAGAAACGAAAATGAAAAAAGAGAACCAACTCTCTTAGGGCCTGTTTACTTTCATTTCTGTTTCCTGTTTTTGAGAAAACAGATGTTGAAAACAGGTGAAAACAACATTTTGTCGTTTCCGAAAACAGCAGGAAGTTGCCACTTTCTGTTTTCATAGTTGGAAATGAATAGAAAACGGAATGAAAAGTAAACAAGTTTTCTCATTTCGGTTGCCAAATTTATGACATGAAAACAGAAAACAGGAAACGAAAATGAAAGTGAACAGGGCCTTATTTTTCATCGACATATTTCTAAAATGAAAATAGAAAACAGGATCACCGATTACACTCATAAGTTTATTCGTTCAAACACAGATCTAAGTACATAATTAAAAAACTCTCAAGTCTTGCAAAAAAAATAAAAAAATAAACACACTCTCAAATCACATAGGCAAGTCGATCTGCCCATTTACATCTACTACAAAGTTGTCTAGAACCATGTTTTGCATCCACCGTGAAATTGTTGACGCAAACTTGTAAGAGTTGTAACTGATCAATTGCGGTCATTATCGAGACGATCGTGATGTCCGATGCCACGATGACCATAACTCGGATTCTCTCCGGCGGCCGAAGCAACGAGATTGTACCTATTGCTTTGAACCGAACCATGTGGCGGACGACGATCACCACCTCGATCAAGCTCGTCTTTGCTCAAGCTGCTGCTGCTGCCGCTGCTTAAACCAGCAAAACCGCACTTGTTAGTTTCAGCCGTTCTCACAGATTGAGAGGCGGAAAAGCGATAGGCGGCGGCAACTGTTGAAGTAACCAGCTGGGCGGATGCAGCAATGGCGATAATCATCATCATTATCAGCAGAGCTGGGGAGTAAGTGGATTTCAGTAGCGTCCTCATGTTTGTGGAAAGCTAGCTACTGGTATAGATTTTGGAGTTGCTTTTGGGTTGTTTATGATATTATGTATAAAGCTAGTATTTATATTGATCATACCAATTATGGGACAAAAACCAATGCGTAGGAATGATTCGTTTTGTTTTATAAGGACAAATTTAGTCTATCTCGGCTAAGAAATTCGTCAAATGTAGTTAGTAGAGGTGTCAATTGGATTGATTCGGATCCATGGAAGTGGATTGGATCAAATGGATTCATGGATTGGATCAAGTGGATTGGTGGATTGACCCGTGATTCTAAATAATATCTAAGACTTTGATCAATATGTAAAAATTTGCAAAATTTTGGGTACTAAAATGTCATAATAAAAAAATTAAGTACCAAAATTTAAATTTTCAATGTAATTTTTCATATAAAAAATAAATTTTGGATACCAAAATGTAAATATGAAAATTATAGGTACTAAAATGTAATTTGTCATTTGAATTCATGGATCAATTCATCAATCCAATTGGATTTGGATCGAATGGATTGGATTAGGTAGATGATTTGGTGAATGGATTGGATTGAATTGAAAATTGCCACTTCTTCTAGTCGTTAGTATTGATGATTGATTGGACAAACGGAGAATCGATTCTCCCAATCAACCCTCAAAGCGAATCGTACATTCAGTCGAAAACAGACTTAAACGATTCTGTCAATAAGAATTTGTGAGTACGTTTCGTTCGCCATGTTTTTTGTCGAATTCGACCAAACCGTCGGTTATTAGTATTTGAGCACATTAGTTAGTGTCATATGAGTCATCCTAGCTAGCCATTTCCACATAGTGCTGCTTCTTCCACTTCAGTTTAGCTTGTTTTGTAATAGATAGGTGATAGTATTGCGAAATGTGAATTAATGGAACCAAACAAAAGCATTAGCCAAGCAGCTAGGTGTTACACAAATTTTGGTCACATTATATACTTTGTTTGCTGTGACATGGCTTTTTTTGGACCCAACCATTATTGCACTTTCATTTCTGGCGTCTTGCAAAGGAAATGGTCAACGAAGACTCCACTTTAAATTTTCTAGTATATGGTCATCGTGTTTTCAGTTTTCACTCAACCGACCATTGAGCCCAACACGAAGTTTTTACAATCACATTTCTAATCTTCACCAATATTGAATTTGAATGAATTTTCTCCCAACTCTAAAAATGGGTAATGAGTTTGGTGGGGTTTTGGTATATTTGGTGGGATTTTGGTATTTCAAGTTTCGTACCGGAACTACTCGTATATACATGCTACAACTAACTCGATATATGCTACAATTATAATTTAGACTCACTCAGTTAACAATTCGATCATTCATATCACTAAAGTGTCATAATTACCTCTTAGGAAAAAAGACTCATTTTATCCCTCACCTTTTTAAACTATGTCTTAATAAAACTTTAAAATAACAACGAAATTTTAAGAAGGAATTCACTTTATATATAAAAAAAAATTATATATGAGTATTTGGAGATGATACATATGGGTTTTCTCCTAAACAATTTTGAGTAAGATTTTGGACTTGGTGCTTGTGTTGGTTGATTAAGGGAAGTTCGGTTTTTTTTAATGAGTTAGATGACAAACAATGCAAACTCAACAAAATCTTGAATAAAATAAAAAGGGGAACATTATGTTACAAATTCCAAACGAAATGACTATTTGATTACATTTCAAATACATTTGAACAAAATGCAAGCTCTACAACCATTTTTTACAAATATCAAACTTAATTTGCCAATTCTTCACATGGATAATGACATGTGCAAGTTAAGCAAAATCATAACGACACGCAATTATATAATTGTGGGTGTAAGAATGACAATGGGCAGGTTCGGGGCGGGTATCTCGATAACCATACCCGTCTTATGGCAGGTCAGGTGCAGGTCGGGTAATTTATCACGGGGCGCGGGTCGGGGCAGGTCGATCCATTGGGTATGTAATTTATGTGGAAAACATTAGAAATATTCGTTTTTTCATTGAAAGACCAAGAAAGAAACCATAATATGATAAAATGTAGTTAAATTATTGAAGAAATTGAGGTTTTCACTTATTTACATCTTTATTATAGCTAAAATATAATGTAATAAGAGGAAAATCTTAAGTAATTTGACTAAGATTATATGTAATTTAGGCAAGAACGGGTCGAGAATGGGGCGGGTCAGGGCAGGTCGGGTCGATGAGAGGTACCCATGCCCGTCACGCCCCAACCCGCCCCAAAACATGTCAAACAAGTCTAGTAAATCGGGTCAGGTCGAAATTGTCATCCCTATGTGGGTGGTTCCTATCTCTCTTTCTAAAGTACTCTGATTACATCAACTAACACGTTCTCTTCTTCAAATCTATGATTCTCACAAAAAAAAAAACTTTAGGGGTCGTTTGGAAGTTAGGAGTCTAAATGAGTGATTCTGTGAATGTGTGTATTCTTTACAATCAATCGTTCTTTTGACATAAAGTTATCTAGAATGCATGCATTTGATTGGTATTTTAGAATCTCAAATGGCTAGAATCATTCATTTTAGAATCTCTACAAAAGGTGAGATTCTCTTGCTTTACTTTTGTAATTTCTTTTTTGCACCTCTTATCCTTATTTTTTTTATATATTTCATATTTGCCCCTTCTTTAATTGACTATATAAAGAGAACTTCAAGGTTATATAAGTTTTTTAGTCATTAAAGTGAGAATCCTTATATTCTTTAAAAGTGAGAATCACAACTACAAACAACATATTCTTACAATCATCTATTCCTTACAATCACTACACTTAGAATACATACATTGTAAGAATACACATATTCATAGACTCCCAACTTTCAAACCAACCTTAGTTGCTTCAAAGGCTCTAACTGTAAATTTTTTAACATGAGTCATTAGATTCAATCCTAAACAAAATCTTTCACCTACGAATCAACTTCCAACTAAAGAAACAATCGAACAACGAGTACATAAAAGGCGTTTACATTTCTGCCGAGCAACCTCCGGTTAATCAAACTAGGCAAAAAACAGAACCCCAAAAAGAA